TCTGCATTATTGTTGATTGTTTCTTTGTTTAATGGATCCTACAGTAGTAATATTTATTACATTATATACTTTATTTATTTTTTAGTTTATTTACATGGAGCAATTTATTATTAACATTAAAAGTCATTACTTATTTACGTCCTTTAAATTAGATGTTCATTAACAAACCTTTGAAAGTCCTAATGGCATTCTAAGTCAGTACTGCAGTCATTAGAAAACGGTCTGTGGCAACAGAGGAACATCTTCGAGGGCCACGGGGCCCAAGGTTAGTTGAATACCCCTGTGTTAAACTGAAACGTTTCGAAGCAGCTTTCCATGGTCAATGCCAAGTCTCTTCACTTCCCACCTATAAATGCTATTTCCTCCTCTAATCACCACTTAAACCTTTGGTCTGAAAAGACACTCGCTCAGAGTTCAGTGTGGGGCAGCGGAGCCGCTGCTTGTTGTTTACTCTGCGCTTCCTCTGTGTGTCTGGGCCCCTTGCTCTCTTACATCATCCTATTGGAAACTAATGGACACAACGGTGGGGGGTGTGATGGGTTGGAGCAAGCGATGAGGTAGTTCATTTGTCCCCTGCTCCGTCCCAAATGAAACGCAGCGTTGTTTCCCAGAGTTCCTCTTCTATGTCTTTAGATTCAGTTTTTACTCTTTCCAATCTACTACCTTTGCATTCTTTCACTCGATCTCATTCATCAATTCTTTCTGTTTTTTATGTCCATGTTATCTGTGAATCGTGTTGTATTATGCTCTGCTTATATTTTGCAGAATCCAGCCCTTCTGTATCCTGGTAATAAAGGGCTGTAGTCGTTTTAATTAGCGGTTTCGCTGCTGCACTCACTACTTTTTCTACTGTGGGCTGCTTGGCTAGAATAGAGCTGTGCTTCAGAGACAAGCTCCTGGCTTCATAAATATTGCATGCCCTGGCCCATATTTTTACCCTGCCCTGTATCCCGGCATGGCAGTGAAAGAACTCTGGATGTTGTAAATTGAACATCAGTTGCAGCCCCTCTGCAGTGGAACAACAGCAGGTCCTTCAAACACTGAAGGGCATTAGATTAGTCTGGAATGGATACAAAGGTTTTAAACAATTACCCTTTCAAAACTCTTAAACATTGATGTCTTACTTCTGGTAAGGTGTGTTTTAAAATGCTCTGATTAGTACGATGAAGAAGGTACACAAGTAACCATGTTGTTTGTTGGTCTTTGTGAAGCTCAGATTGATGTAATGCTGCCTCTCTGCTACCAGTCAGTAGAGTGAATGAAGCCCTCACTGAAATTCACTTCTCTTATCCAGTCTAAGATGGAGAATTTTCCATTTAAATGCTTAAATTCATTACGATGCTGAAAATATTTGGAATCAGTTTATTGCAAATGAGATTAGTGAAGCGATTAGTGCCAGGCCTTTAGATTTAATCATTATGGTATATATCCAATGTAGGACTGGGTGATTAATCACTTTATTGATTTGCTGAATTAGGGTTATTTTTATTCTTTTTTTTTTTATTTGAGGACTTAATATTTGTGAAAAAGTGGATTTTTTTTCTTCCTCCAATCCTCTCTGTGGGCTCCCGTAGCTCAGAGGGACATCAGTTCATTACTTCTTGTACTTAGATGTCTGCTCATAACTGTTAAACAAGCTCACTTTTTTTATCCCTGTAGCTGGAGGGGTTAAGTTTGTAAAATGTTTCATTGTTTATTGCTTAAACTTTGTTGCACGTTAAATGAAGGTCACCTCCCAGATAGGGTGATTGAAATGGGAGCTTTTTTAAAGTTATGCATGTCATTTTTCATTTTCATTATGAAACTTGGGGAGAAGCGGGGGAAAGGGATTAATCTGATTTTGCAGGGAAAAATCTGAGATTAGATTTTTTAAGTCGCATTGCCCAGCCCTAACCCCTATTCTCTTATTTGGGTAAAAAGAAGAAAGGCCTGCTTAAATACAGAGGGCTCTCCAATAAAACTTATATAATGAGGTTTTTATTGCTTGGACAAACCCCCTTCGATGTCAAATTAAACTTAAAAGATGTTCTTATGCACTTATGCACACAGAAAGTAATAATCTCTATAGTATACAACTTTGAAAAGGGCTATTTATAAGACTGCTGAAAGAATCATTGAAGTGTGACATTGGATTTCAGCAAAATCTCATTTTCTCTGGTAGAAGTATTCGTTGCCCTAGTTTTCATTTGGTCTTCATCTAAACTGTGTATATTTTTCCAAGTGTCCATTTTTACAGAATAAAAATGGCGCTGACTTGCCCTAAAACCTGCTGACTTCCAACCTGTCATTTTGCTGTCATACTGTGCTCAGGCATGCACATATCCAGGCACCCCTGCATGGGTCCCTTTAGAGTTAGACATGACTTTCACATTCTAATGGACTCATCTTTATGCTGCTTTGCCTGCTTGTTGTAACTATGCTAGAAGGGAGTTGCTGTTATGGATTTTTGTGTGACGTTTAATGAAGCAGTTTCTGATAATGTGCATATTTTGCAATCTATTCATTTTCAAATACACATCATGTGTATGTAAAGACTTAAGCAGCTTTATTTTAAACCTTGATTAAGTGCAAGTTGATAAAGAAGAAAGGCCTTATTACCGTACTATTTTTTTTAATGAGATAAAATTGCTTTACCTAACATGACTTAAACCTGTTAAGACAACGATATTTTTGAAATATTGGTTGGCCTGTTTTTCCATTTTCAATAATCTGCATTTAATGTGTTGTCTGTTAAAAGACTGTTAATCTCAGCATCTTTGAATAAGTAGATGTTCATGATTCGTAAATATCATTAATATGAAATAATGCCGCAGGAAGATGGACTAATGGATTTTGGCTGTGGTCCTCTTGTGGTTGCAGTTTCTCTGCCAGGCTTGAGAATAAAACTAGCTTATCAGAGATTAAATACTCTGCTCAAATGATGATTTAGAATGACTTTCAATGGATTTTTTGTTTTAAATCTTGTATAATGCAGTACATAAAATCTTAAATAAAGACAAATGTTTTTATTAAGTTAAGCGGCCTGTGTATTAGTTCCTCTATGCAAATATTAGTCAAGTATTCTCCTTGACGTAGAAAGACAAGTCCTCTGCTGTGAACTTTCTTCTGCTTATCTGTCTGTACCTACAAAAGCTGGCATCATTCAGGCCTTGTTTTAGTCTTCAGCTCTGCAGCAGCAGCCCTCCCTCTGATCCCATCACATTTTACACTGAGAGCCTCAGGTATTCATTGGTATGCATTGTCAATGACTCCTGCATTCCAGAGATTGTGAAGCATATTTCTTGTTTTCATCATTGATGATATTGTATGAGCAGTAGCTTTGACTCCACATCTCAGGTGTATAAAAGATAGATATCGCTTCCACAGCTCTTGTTACCTTAGATGTCAGATTACCTGTCATGGAACTGGGAGGAAACTTTTGTTTGGCCGTGGGTTGCGGCATGAATACCTCTAGTTCTGTTGCATCACTTTTTTGCATATACATCTGAGGGATTTAGCTGTTTAACGGCTGTAAAGTGATCTGGATAAGACAAATGCAGGTGCAAAAAGGTGAAAACATATTGCTTTGTCTTGTCCTTAATGGCATTATTGGTCTCTGTGGTAAGCTCTTTGGATTACCAGCTTCTGTTTCTACTGGGCTGCTTTTTGTTGCCCTGAACGGATCCTAGTCTTCATCTTCTGCTTGCAGTTTATCTCATTACCATCCCCCTCTGCTTCCTCTCTCTTCTTGCTGTCATTGCAGTGTTTTGGCTGCTGTCCCGTTGCCAAGCAGAGACCTCAACAATGGCCCCTCTCTGCCTGGGAATGCTTATTTAATCGAGGCAAACTCAGACAATGGAAACCTAATGTCTCATCTCCCACCTGAAAACTTTTATAGACTCTATGAGGCTTTGCTGATGCTCATAGTCTCAGCAAGTTTTCCACATCCAGTATCGATGACCTAACCTTTCCATATCCGCCTTTAGGCCGCAGAGTATTTCTGCTATGAGGCAGAAGCTCATCTGAAATCATACCAAACACTTTTGGATAGAGATAGGCCGATACATCAACCAGCAGGTATATTTGGCTGATTTTACAATTTTTTCTGCATTAGTCTTAAAAAAACAAACAAAACAAACCTGTAACGGTAAATTTCTACTTTTAGATGATAGATCTAAATAAACCACAGACAAAAAAAAAACTATGAAAAATCTTCCCTCTTTAAGTTTGCTCTGAATTGGTCTCGCTGCTCATTTGTCTTTTTTCTATAAAAACTTTTGAACAGCATGTCACTTGCAGAGTAAATAACTGAAGTTCCTTTGAAACGGCTCCCTACTGTCAGTCGTTTAATCTGTTGTCCCAGTGTTTACCCCCAGACTTGACAGAAGTAAATGTGCCTTAGTTTGGTTCCATATGGAGTGGAGGGAATACAGTAGTAGGCGGACAAAGCCAAGCGTCCCTGCTGTGAGTGTCTTTCTTTGGCAGTCTAAGCCGAGACAAACTAATGTTTGAGACGGACATGAAAGTTCAGCAGTCTGCCAAACGTTGAGTCATGCTCTCACTGCAGTCCCAAACCACCACCCTTACGTCTCTTTATTTAAACATTTTTTTAGGCGTTTGTCACCAAAAATAAGTTTCTGATTTAAGCTGCTGTGTTTTATTTTGTTGGCTGTTTCTTTCAGTCAGTCTGCTCTTATAATGTTCCAAATAGGATCTGATCTCTCCCTTTGGTATTGGTTGATGTTCTGGTTTCACTCAATGTCACTAAATTAGGCTTTATTAATTGTTTTGTGAAAAATTCTGAAATCAGACTGATTATTAGTTCTTAGGAGGAGGGGATTTTTCTCCTCTGAGACAAGAACTCCACCTAATGACTACATGGTTGACGCCACACCGATCTGCCTCGTGGACTCAGCTGCGAATGGAATGAAGAGAAACAAGTCAAGATCTGTTATTTGTGCTGCCTTCGCTGTCCTCAGTCACTCACCTGTTAACTGCCTCGTGTCTTTCTCTTTAACCAGCTCCGGGCTCGGCCCTAAAAACAACCTTGTTGAGGCCTGACCCAGAAGGAGAAAGCAGCCCCCTGAAGATGGACGGCACCCAGCAGATTGAGGCTCCGGTTAAAAAGGAAACGGATAAAAGACCGACGACCCCAGTGAAACCAGGCCTCTCTCGATCACCATGCTCTCCGGCATCACCTATACACAGGTCAAAAAGAGGTAACAAACTGAGGCTGCCCTCCTTCTCTTTCTATTCGGTATCTTTTTGAGCAAATCTGCCTAAAAATCTGACATTCTTTTCAGTGGTGCGTCAAAGTTTTCACCTGCTTTGTTTTTTTTTTTTTTCCTCCCTCTGTGCAAAGTCATGCTGTTTTTTTCTGTTCCCTTTTAACCAGAACTTTTCAGTCTTTGAATTGCATCGTAGTCAAAATATTAAGGCAGAACCCTTTCTTTTTTTTAAAAGTTCAAACTGTTTTCCATTTTTCCTCGAATCAGCATCAGCAGATTTGTTCATGCGTAAAATAAGAGTATCCTGCAGCCATCCCAGATGAACACGTAAAGGCACTGTGGGCGTACGACTTTTTAATCTTAGATACGATTTTTATTCCACGTCATACTGACTGCCTATAGAGAGGCTCTGACTGTGCAGGGTGTGCAGATCTGGGAAGCTTTTTTGTTCTTTTTCTCGCTTCTGTCTCTGTGCTATAGAAAAATTAAAACAATTTCCCACGTTTGACTTGGACAGATTATGAAGAGTTATTGAAACCAGAAGAGAGAGAATTTTTATAGGCCTATATTAAAAATATAATGGGAACTATGTTAAAAGAAAAAAACGCAGCACTAAAGGCTTTGGGACGGTTTCTATGCTTACAGGTCGGTGAAAGATGGTTCTCAGAGAGAGATCTGTGAAGTCTGTCAGAGTTTTTGTTTCTTTTTTTTTTTTCATAAAGAGGGAAGAGTGAAGCCATGCTTACTTGCTCTGTCTGCCCTTGTTATTTTTATTCATCTGTTTTCTGTCCTCCTGAAGCTCTTTTTTTTGTGAGATTAATAAACTACTCTTTCTGTCCCTCGTTTTGTTTTCCAAGGCTTAAAGAGAATCCCTACTTTATACATTTTCTGTCTTATCATGGTTAAAGTATTCTTTATTCAATGTCTCATTGATTGTTTTTGCACAAGTCTGTCCTGCCTGCTAAATATGTTCTGCGTGACTTAAAACGTGACAGTTTTCCTGTATGATTGACAGATTTTATTTTCTGTTTTCCCCCAAAGTTGATGAGTTTTACTTTGTAGCTCCGCTCTTCTTGTCAGACCTTCAGAAATTGCTGCGTAGTGCGACTAAAATAGACCTGGGGTCTATCTCAGTCGGACCTATCCAAGCCCACTAGCATAAAATCGTGTCTGGTGTGAGCATCCCAATTGACTTTCAATGAGCGCCAAGCAGTATGACCTGTTTCATTAGATTTTCTGATTCGGTGTGTTCTAGTTTTAAGGTGCATCAACCGTCCCTTCCTCCATTTGCTGGAGGAAGTAATTTTCTTTGATTTGTCCAGAAAAAAAGTTTTTGGTATCATAATGATGGAGGACAAAAAGGAACTATCACACCCCCTTTTTTCAATCTATCTCTGCTTCTAAGTCTGGATATTGTGATGGTGCAGAAATGCGCATGGGTGATGATAATCCAGCACTACAGCCTTCTGGAAAAAATAACGGCAAAAAAATTATACAAAAGACAAGTTGCATAAGGGTTGCAAATGGCTGAATCTCTTACACAACCCAAAACAAAGGTGTGTATGTTTCACACAAAGAAATAATGTATATATTTTTTTCAATTCCATGAGGTTCTTTGCTGATTTGCAGTATTTGTATGGACATGAACTCTCACTGAGAATACTGTTTCCTTTTTCTTTAAAGATGTTTTCTTTTACTGTATTATGAAAAACAAAACAGAACTTGACTCGCATAAAGGCACAGTCATTTAAACTGTAAATAGGAAATGCCAAAAGTTTCCAAAACATTCTTAAAAAGATCAAATGTTTTCAAGGCTCTTGTGGTTCTTGCTGACCATTTTTAGGAGTGTAATTCTTACTTTGAATACAACAATTCGGTGAATTTTGGATACATTTGAATAGATTGGATTTATGAGTACAGATTTGGATACAGTAACTAGCAGATTAAAGACATGAAAATAAGGTTTGAGTTTATTATAAGTGTGATCAGCAATAAACTGTAGTTAAGGTTTACTTTAAAGATGCTTTGTCGACAAACACCAGAATAAATCAACTATTGTTTCCTTACAGCCTTCACTAAAATTATAGTTTATATTATCATCACCTTTAAGGTGCTGAAGTTTGTGGTTAGATGGAAATAACCTATTAGGCTTTTTTTTTTTCAAGTCAGCAGTTAAGAAATGTGGATTCACTTTTTTCAGTTTTTTCCTCCAATCCCTTACATACCAATTTGCATAAGGAAAAAGAAATTAAGTTGGATAGAATACTCAACAATACATTTTGAAGAAGGCAAAAAATAACACAGAAAAAAACTGACCTTGGGCTGAAACAATTAATCGGATTAATTGTGATTAATCCATTATTGAAATAATCTAATATCAACTAATCAAGTAATCGATTAATCGTTAACTGGAGTATAGAGACTCTAAAACATGCCTTTAGCTGACAGAGCGACCCAATTAGAGCAGTAATATATCAAAATTGTAAAAATAAAATATATAAATGTTTTGCATTTTAGATAACAAAAAAAAACAAATAAAAAAACTTCTTAGGTTTATCAACATACTCTATCCAGAACTCCTCAATTGGAAAAGTTTTAGTTTCACCTTGTTTGATTTTGTAAAAACCCTTCTATAAGGAACCTTTTCCCTTCTGATTATTAATTAAAAGAATAATCAACAGAATTATCGATTAGCTAAATAATCGTTAGTTGCAGCCCTAGACCAACCACAGAATCCACAATCTGACTTTATAAAATTCATCCAAACTCAGCAGAAGTTGAGGAAAGCCTAACAAAGTCCCACCAGGCTTAAAAATACATTACTGTAGTGGCAAAGAAACACTGAGAATGTGGGTGTGTCTGAGCACCTCACTGTGAAGTTATTTGCTTACAGAGTGAAGGACTGGACTGGCGCTGTATCTGGAAACAGGTCATTGTTTTAAGTTAAAGGCAGAGGTATTGGCTTGGACTCAAGGCAGTGTTATGATAACAGTGCACTCTGCTGGAGTCCCAGCAGCTCTCTTTAGGCAGCCTGACTCTAAGCAGTGGCCACAGGCTTTCAGACCAAAGACACAATCCAATAAACCGGCTGCAGCTTCTTTTCAAGTGGTGGAACAAAGTTTAATACGTAACATTATCAGAGGATTAAGTAGCTCAACATTTTCAAGCCTAATGATGTTAGTAAAGAAAATATTCCTAATATGATTAAATATCCTGTGTTAGAAAGTGAATGGAGCCAATCTATAATCATGTGGGATAAGGAGTCCTATTTCAGGCAGTAAGGTCAGGAAGGCAGCTCATCTGACCTGGCAGCTGCTCTGCAGTTGTTTCTTCTTGAATTCAAACTCATAGGAAGACATTTCCGGCTTTATGGAGTGTAAGCCTTTCTGTCTCCTTGTTAATATTTTACTCTAACTTTATTTTTCCCTCCTTATCCACCAAAATGCAGCTTTTTAGGGCTTTAAGAATCAGAGTTACACTGTTTGATTTATTGCTGAATTCACTCATTTACTTGTAATCATTTAATGCAATCAAATCATTTAAGGACAGGCTTGTTTTAAAATGATCAAATCTAAGACTTGTTATTTACCAGATTCCAGAATCACACTGTTGCCTTCCTTTTAACCCATTTCAACTTTTCCCATTTGTGTAAATCCATTTCCTACGAGGGTTAGACCTTGCACTATTTGGCAGTGAGAACTATTTGTGACCTGATAATTACTTAAATAAAAGAATGAAGCTCCTGGTTTCGCTGACAACTGCTGCATACTATTTCTTTTTCCATATTTTATTTCATGTGGAGCATTTTTTTTTTGGAAGCGTATATGTATATAATTTAAACCTGTATCCTACACTAAGTCGTATTTAATAATCTGGTCTGTTTTTGCCTCTGAGGCACCGTGCTCTGCGAGTTCTAAATGGAGCCACTCCGCTAGAACCAAGGCTGTGCTCATGGTCTTTCCATCTTTCTATAAATATCAAAGTGGGTCAGCAGTTGTTTCTCTGAGAGGCTGCAGAGCAGATAGCTTCTGTGTTTAATGATTCAAGCTGCACCCTGTTGGAGGACTTCCTGTCTCTATGACGCTGAATATCTGGACTGTGTAGACGAAGGGAGATGATGCAGCATTGAGAATTGAACCAGGAGAAGATGGCCATTTGAATGACCTCAATGAGTTGTCAAATAGGCGACCTATATTTTTTACATGGGAGATTTAATGATAAAAGGAGAGATTTTAGAATGAACTCCTGATTCTGACTATGACAATGCAAAGTCTAAATGTTCTTCATACGTCTCTGTCAGGCCTCCAATTTGTTTGACTTCCCATCAAAGTCGTTTTCCATCTGTTTGTCCATTTTTCCCGCATCCAAATATCGCTTCTTCCATCTGTCTGTCCTTCCAATTATTAGCTTATCCTTCAATGCACATGTTTCATTTGTCCATCTGTTTATTGTCTTCCATATATTTTTCTTCACTCATCTTCCTTACATTCTGTAGTTTTTAGACATTTCATATTGAAAGCCTGACTTCTGTAGAAACATCTGTAAATCCATGGGAAATATCAGCATACCTTCTTAAAAATTATATCAGTAGTACTGAAACAAGTGTGTTTTTTTTCCTCCAATTTCCTTTAAACTTAATGTTAGTTTGTGGTTTGAATCTCTTTCAGTGGTTCAGCATTTTTTATTATTTCCCCCTGTTGTCTACAGCTGAGTGCTTTTTGAGGTGTATGCGAAGAATACATGAGGTCTGAGTGCTCTCCTTCAGGCGCTGCGTATTCAATTCAAACATCTACACACATCTAGATATAAATCTGCTGTCCCTGCCTCCTGCTTCAGCTCTTCTAGAGAGGAGGCGGCCTTCCCTGCACCACACTTTCTAAAGATGTTTTCCTTTTGTCAAGAAAGATGATAATAAATCATTACCTTCAGAGTTTATAGTATTTTGCTTGTCTCTGCTTGCATTTTCTTGTAGACATGAAACCCTGACCTTGTTAGTTCAGATGCAGTTAAAAATGTGTCTGTTGTTATTGCACTGGTCAGTCAATTTGTATTTTCAAATTGTGGTAAAGTTCTTCTAGATGTTCGGTGGTTGGCTTGTTAATTTTGGCTATTAGAGGAGTTTCTTAGGCTTCAGCTGTTTGCTGGATATTTTCTGTTGGGAATATTCAAATGTGTATTTGATTGGTTTTTATTTTAAGTATTATATAATTTTGAAGTTGAAGTAAAAGTAAGCATTCCGCTATTGTTTTACAAAATGAAACCTGAGGTGTAGTGTGTATTCTGATAGGAAGCCTTCAGAAGTCTTCCTATCAGTAAATAAAGTCCCTTCTGGGCGACATTTAGTTTAATATAAATACAGCTGTTCTATGAAGGCCTCAGCAGTTTGTTGGAGAATGTTAATGAACAAAACAGCATCAGAAAGACCAAGAAACATCGCAGGGATAAAGGTGTGGAAGTGCTTCTATATAGAAGTCTTAGAATATTATTAAAACACCCAAAGTTATAGAAATATCCCAGAGCCATGTTTAATCCATCATGTAAATATTGGCATCATGGCAGAGCAACAAACCTACCAAGACCTGGCTGCTACTTTAGATTGACAGACAGGAACAAGGATTTAATCAAAGGATCCAGCCTGCAAGGAAGAGAAGGAAGAAGGTCAAATATTCATAACAAGTCATCACTGCATGCACCCCAATCCATGTCCTTGGTACTGAAATTAGGGATTTCCTGGTCGGATATTGATATCAGCTAAAAGACTAGACTCCAGAATATATTGGCCCGTTTCTAAAATCTCGAATATAAGAACACTGAACTTCTCTCAAGCTTTTCTATTCAGCAGCGCTTGTTTCCTTCGAACAGAGCCCAAGTGATCTCTACAAATGCTGTGTGCCAAATTTGTCAGGCACATATTTCCCATCACAGAAGAATTGTAGCTGCAATTATAACGAAAGCAAAAGTTGGTTCTATAGATTAATTTAAAGGGTGGGGCTCTATACAAATGCAAGACACACTTTTAAAGGAAAAAGAAAAGAAAAACTATTTGTTCTTTTTCTTTCTCTTCACCATGACGTATGGCTTTATGTTGGTCTGATATCACCTAAAATATCTTGAGTCCTGAACAAAATGAATTACTGTTCTTGGGGAAGGAATCTAGTTGTAAGACATTGTTTATAAAAAGATTAAAACAGATCATTGTATTGCTGTTGGGTAATCTGATAATGATACAGGATTATAGCTCACCTTTACCTTCCATTTTTTCTTTTATTTCATTCCCATCTCAGATGTCCCAAAGTCAGAGGAGAGACAGAAGCTTGCTAAAGAACGCAGAGAGGAGAAGGCCAAGTATCTAGGTAAGTGGAAGCAATGTGTGAAAGCATTATGCGATTAGAGCTCCCCCTTGTGTTGGGGTGGAACATGTAGCTTTTTTCCGTGTACTGGATAGCTGCAATTAACATGCACTTTTCACAGACGACTGGAGCAAAAAAAGAGCAGGTTTGGTCCCTGAAGAAACGATAAAGAGTAACATAGTTATCATCTAAGCAGGCATTTCATAAGCAGGAGTCTATTTTCTGCATGTTTCTGCAAGCAGTGTTTGCTAACATGTTGCTGAACTTCTCACCTCACTGTCTGTGTCACAACCTAAGTTATAATGAAATGGTCCAAACATTAATATGCATGATGGGGGTAAAAAATAACACTGCATTTAAAACACACAAATGCTCATTTTTAATTCGAACTTAAAGTTTAATAGTATGGTGGTCTGACACAGCCCCACTGTTTTAATTTAGCTAGAATTTGTAATGTTTGGCTGAAACCACCTGGCTCCACTCTGGCCCTGCACTGCTTTGCATGATTGACAGCTGCTCCTGTCTTCTCTCATTCTTTCCTCCTACAGAAGAGCTCAGCAAGTTGCAAGGTAAGCCACTCACCTGTGTTAATGTGGTGGTGGTGATGGCCTCTTTCATTTCGAATCATTCAGTTCATTCTGAAAGTCTTCACTTGTGATTCTTCGCTGTATAAACTAGAGTTGGGTAATCCACCAAGAAATATCATTGAAACAAGGGCTGCATCATAAGAAACACTAAATGGAAATTTTGAGAATTATTATCACCGTCCATCGTTCACATACATCAGGTGTGGAAATAGAAGAATATTTATTACAAACTCTTCCTTATGGGTGTTATCAGCTTTCTTTGTGAATCAATATATTGTGCAGCTCTATTAATCACAAAAAAGAAAAGTAAACTAAGAACATGTAACACACATTATCTCTGTTTTTATTTTTTCAATGCTTATAAACATGTCAGTTTATATTTAATCTGAAAGCGGCACAGAACAAAAAATGTAAAATAAAAAGGGATATTTTGGTGATCTTGCCCAGCTCTAGGGCTATTTCTTCCATTTTTATCTTTTTTTTTTTTTTTTTTTTTTTTTTTTTTTTTTTTTTNTCTTGCCCAGCTCTAGGGCTATTTCTTCCATTTTTTTTTTTTTTTTTTTTTTTTTTTTTTTTTTTTTTTTTTTTGCATTTCTTCCATTGATATCTTTTTTTGTCATGCTTTGTTTTTCCCATATCAAATCCAACTAAATGTTAGCCTCTGTTCTCTATAAACATTCTCCTCATCAAGCATTCAGCCACATGATCCTTTAACCATTCTCCTTAATGTACATGAATGCATTTGATGTGGTGCCCAGAGGCTGACAGATAACCTGTCCTTTGTGTGAACTTTGGTCATATTCCTGCTCCAATTATAGAAGATGGAACCAATGAAACCACTGATTACAGTCTTCCTTGACAAATTAGAGGTTTTCTGGGGACACTGTGAAATTATATTCAATCGTGATATTGTCACCAAATTAGACGGAACATATAATTAAATTTTTGGAAAAAGATATGCATTTAGAGTAGATATCTTTAGTTCGACCGCTTGCAGCAAATGTGCAAACAAAATCGTAACACTTTGTGTAGATTTCCTCATTTTACTTGGCAGTAATGTGTTGTCTGTTGTCTAATCCGAGTGTTTGAATGCTGTAAGATGTGTTTGACACAGTTGATGCTGTGGATCCGTCTAATTGGGAGATCACAGGCGCACGCCAGATGGTATGGGTCTTATCTAATTCACTGTCAGACTGGGATAACAGAAGACTCTTCAGACAAAGCCTGTGTTTACAATGTCGGCTTAAACAGAGGTTTTGGTTCCTCTGCACAAATGATGTTTTTTCTAGAAACAAACAAGGAAATGTTTCTTGAGTTTACTTGGATACAAAGAGAAATAAAAAAAAATACTTGAAAGATGAACACATTTTTAAAAACGGTCAAATTTCATAACCCTTACAAAAAAAAAACAAGAAAAAAACAAAACGAAGACACGCTAAAATGTATTGATAAAATAATATCTGGCATTTTAAGGGAAGCTGCTGTAAGCAATGTTTTAAATCCTATTATAGGAATCAATGACTTCTATACATTACATATGAACATTATAAAGAAACCATTATGCTTATCGGAGCTAATGAAAAATAGCATCTTTATGTTTTATTCTTTATCCTGCTAATCATTTTATGTATGCAGTAAGTTGGCTTATGTAGACCTTCTTTATGGATCCATGACTACTTTAGCTCTCTGTTTTTAAGGCTTATTGAGTTGTCTGTAATTTCTCCCCCTAAATTGATGGGATAAACACACTTACTCTGCATCATGCATTGGTCGATTTATTAGGTCATATTAGGCTATGTCTTGAGATTATGTGCCGAGCTTGCATTGGCGTTTCCTCCGTTTGCTATTTTTTGGTTTTTGTTAATTTTTTTTAATCTTTTTTTTGTTTAAGTTGAGATTTTTATCTTTTTTATCAGTGTGTCAGTTGGGTTGTGTAAACAGAGGAACAAAAAGAAATATCGGCTTCAATATATCTGCACATTGGCAGCACATATTGGGGATCTGTTAAACTGATGCCAAAATAATCAGTATCAGCCTTTAATCAACCTGTACAGTTTGATCTCTGTGATGAATTGGCACAGATGGAAAGTTGTTTATTATAATCTGAGGTATAACTAGATGTGATTCTTAAATTTAACACTAAAATTGACTTGACTTGTTTATAATGACCAAGTGACAGAAAATAGTCTAATCTTCTCAAGTAAGACTTCAACCACCGCACTGCAATACCACACAAACTCCCACTTTACCAATCTATCATCAAGCAGCTGAGATCTATTGAAGTAGAAAGTATTGACATTTTTCATGTTTTTACTGATGTCATCTTAAATACCTTGCAGTCTTTGGGAAAATGTAAATCTTTCATGTCCGATGATAAAGCTTGTCTCTGGCTTTTTAACGACCTTACTGTTATCTAAATCAATCTGGATTTCTGTCTATAGACGGTCCAGGATCCATGAGCTGCACTTTCAGATTTGGGCATCTGTTTAAAATTTAAAGCTCTGGAATGTGAGTGGCTGAATATCAATAGCTCTTAGCTATTAGACTAACTTTAGGTGTATGGATAAAGACATCTGCTATTTCACAGCTCATCTCTTATTACAACAGGTTTTAAAATGAGGTTTAAACCAAAATCCACAGCAAAATTCTTCTAACCAGATTAACATGTGAACCAATTGCAACTAAATTTGTCAAATTAAACTTTTAATTGTTGTTCTGTTTAGTGTGAGCTTGACCCTGGGTTAATGTCTGAAACTATGATCGATTTGAGAATTTCATTACTATTTTGGGATTAATTAAGAGCAATTCTTGCCAATTTTGTCCTGCATGTTTTTTTTTTTTTTTAAAGAACCACCAATTTCTCTTATATCAAGCTGCACAAACAAATCTGCACTGCAGCATTCATTGGCTTTGCTGCACAGTGTTGGCAAGCAGGGCCCGGGTAGTCGGCTTTTTGTTCCATCTTCACATGAAAGACAAACTGCGTGCCTTACAATAAATTTTAAAGCCCTAGCCTCCAACATTTCTGCAGTTATCCATCACAGTCTTCTGAGAAAAAAACACAACGAGTTGCTTGATGTCAGAGGAATAAGCACCAACCGATTCTTCGTGGAGGTTTTCTTTAGTGGTTTGAGAGAAAATGCTGATCTCTTTACTCTGGAAATGAGGCCTCTTACTGCCCTTTATAAAATGCTGAGTAACAAAAAATGATTTGCATATTAAAATATGGTTTCGTGGATGCATGAATGAAATAACCTATAAAATGTCACCTCAGAGGTATTTAGTCGGCCTAACCTTTTACGAAGACAAAGCTTAAATATTTAACTTTTGACCAAACTCGGATCTTAAGCTTTTCTAAGTCAAGCCACAGATTTAAAGGTAAATAAGCTCAAAATCGATGATGCTTTTTGTCTTAAGACATAAAATCGTTAAATGTTTTATTTGTTTAAAAGAATATAAATCACAAATTATTTAAAGATTTATTAAAACAACAAGCCAAAATATTTCATCTCATTTGGACAGATGGGTCTGTTTTGTCCCAGGTGAGAAATGAGGAAAAGGAAACCTTTGAGACTCTTCTCCCTAACACGTCCTCTGTTTGATACAACAGCTGCCAAAAAGAACCAGTGGCTGGAGAAGGAGGAGAAGGCGCGGCAGCTGAGGGAGCAGCAGCTGGAGGAACGTCGCAGGAAGCTGGAGGAGCAGCGGATCAAAGCAGAGAAACGGCGAGCTGCTTTGGAAGAGAGGCAGAAACAGAAACTGGAGAAGAACAAAGTATGTGGATGGAAACAGGCTAAAACTGTTTAAAACGGCACATTTACAAATCACCATACTTCTAATAGCTGAGATGATAGTTCACTGAAGGGTGAGAGGTCAGTGTGGCAATGGCCGGTGGGGGGGGTTGAAATCGGCTATGAGAATCAGACCTTGTTGCCTGAAAGCAGGCTGTTCAGCTGATTTATATCATTCAATTGATTTCTAACAGCCGTAATCTTCCGTTGCGTTTCCCAGGAACGCTACGAGGCCGCAATCCACAGATCAACCAAGAAGACATGGGCGGAAATCCGTCGGCAGAGAAGCTCATGGGTCGGTGTGGTTTCCCCCAACTCCAGCCAGAAAGAGAGTGAGTACATTCAGAGCATCTGGATCAACTCCTCCATTCACACTTGATGGGTTAAAATCACTTATATGAAGAGCCTCCTATTAGACTGATGATCAGCACTAAAACAAATGGTTTGTTGGTTTTTTTATATTGGCTTCATATCTTAACTGCTGTTGGTTTTAATTTTTCATCATTTCTGCATTCCAGGGCACTGATCTGCATCCTTGTTTACACACAGTGGTTTTAATAAAACAGATTTATTTTGTAGCACACCAAACGGATGGAAAGTTCCCCACTTTTAAACTAATTGTGTTTCTCATGATGAGCTTAAATTTACTTTGATGTTCTCGTAAATAAAAACCTTTTAGCTAAAACATTACTGCAATCTGGGCAGTTTCATTGCCAGTTTTAAAATTGCTATAACAAATTGATATAATCCAAATTTTTATAAGCTATTATCTTTTCTTAAGTAAAAAAAAATTTGTTTTTTTTAGCTGAACATGTTGTTTTACTATTGATCCTAGAAATTTTATATTAACCCCATTAAACTAGTAAATGTATGCTGCAATCTATATGCGTTTTCTAGGGAATTTCCAGTCAATATTTCCTATTCCAGCAGATTCCATGACAGTCCTTTTCTTACAGCCTTCATGCCTGTCTGGCTTTGTTTGTAAATATATCACTGATCCAGAAAAGAAGTGAACTTTAGTAACATGGTGCTGTTATTAAGGTGACCTTATTAACGTTTTTGACTAACCTTTGGACCTGTCAGGGGGTGCCACCACTCACCAGCTGATTTCTCAGAGCTTATATAATCCTTTGGTTGCAAACATGTTTAGTCTAGTGTCATTGGCCTCAGTAACGGTTTGCTCTGATTTCACATGAAACTTACCAATGTATAAATTTGGAATTGAGTTTTTGCTGATTTATCTGAATGGAGAAACTCTGTGCTCACATTCATCGTTCCATCTGTAATTACAGAACTTGGTAAAACTTTTTCTTACAATAACTGGACCAGAATATAATGCTTTGATCAGAGTGTTTTGTGAATTGTACCGACTGTCTGTATTAACCTCTTGTTGTTTTGTGTATATATTTAATACAGGTCACTCTTGAAAACGGGACCTTGTGTCTCAGTAAGATTAACCTGAATACGTAAAAAAAAAAAAAATGATCATGAAAGAAAATGCAGCTGATTCTTCAGAGTTTTGAGACCTTGCATAACTCATGACACCATAGTGGCTCCCTCTGTTCTTCTCAACCATGTGACCTCTGTGAACATCTGTATGGCGCTCTCTTGGCTTCTTAGGCAGATGCTCTGTCTCTGCGGTCAACCTTCCCAAACATGTGGACTCTGTTCTAAACAAGCGACTCTCCAAGTCCTCGGCCACACTCTGGAACTCCCCCAGCAGAAGTAAGGCAACATGTGGAGCGTCCTGCGCCCGTTTTCAGTCTGTCCATCATTCAGCCACTGGCGACAACCACGAGTCCTTCCATCATTGTCCTTTTTGATTTTGTTCGCAGTTGCTCCCCTTCACTGTCTAATTTCAGCACTTTTCCCGTCTTTTGGTGGTTTAAAGTTGACCTCATTTTCATCCTACAAAACCACAATTTTTATGTTTTTGTTTGTTGACTCTCAGACTTTGTTTTGTTTTTTCTTTAAATTGCCCTGCATGCTTAAGTTTTGTTATGGGATTATATTTTATGATGCAATCATGGGATCTTTTTACTGTTCTTTGGTTGTTTCATTGTCTGGTGATGATCATTGCATTCCTGGTGGCTTTTGCACTCTCCCTACCGGTCCTTTTATGTTCTCCCATTATAATCCATTGGATTAAAGATGCCCTGAATATGTAATCTACTAATGACATGTAAATGGTGAATTGTGTTTGGAATTTAAAAGATCTGCTGATATTTAAGAGGTGGTGAAAAGAAGAAAGCAGAAAAGTAAAATTAGAAACACGATTCTTAACAGTTAATTTATGTAAGTTTTTGCTTTCCAAATGGTCGCCGTCCTTTGTTCTAGCAGATTGTTTTTTTTTTTGCTGCTTCCAGTTTCTCAACAAACCTTGAACAATAACTCTAACGTTATACTATCCTATAGGCTACGTTCACACTGCAGCCTGAAGTGACTCAAATCCGATTTTTTTTGCCCATATGCAACCTGAATCTGATCTTTTCATGGCAGTCTGAACAACACAAATCCGATTTTTTCCAATGCGACCCAGGCCACTTGGCTATCTGGTCCTGAATCCGATATGAATCTGATCTTTTCAAATGCGACCTGTGTCTGAACAGCCAGGTCGCATTCATCAGACCTGAACGTCATTAATATCTGACAAAGGTCACTATTCTGCGTCTTGCTATGCAGAAACGGCAAGAAAAACAACAACCATGGCAGATGATGACGCGGAGAGCAGTATTTATATTTAAACACATTGAAAAGAATGAGTTTTTATGGTTGGAAAAGACCGCTAGGTGCGCGCCGGCACATTCATGTTTACTTCGGTAAACATAGAGCACGCTGGCCTGTGACGTCATTGCGTCCTCTACTGCACATGCGGGACACACGTATGACCGCAGTTCACACAGGAGATCACATACAATTCGCATATATTTGGAAATGTGAACGGCAACGCAAAAAAAAAATCGGATTTCACAAAAAAATTGGAATTGAGCATCAAGGCCCGCAGTGTGAACGTAGCCTTAGTTAGCCTGATTATGCCCTTCAAATTATAAAAATACTGCTACCATTTTATACTTTTTGATCTTTTTTCTTTCAGACCCTTTATTTTACACCTCTGGGAACATTTTCTTTGAAGCTGTGGTGTGTTGGAGTACAGGACGACATGGCTCTGTGACTAATTTCTAATCGTGCATTATTTTGTTTACCTGTAGCCCGCAGCCTTGCACTGACTCCATGGGAGAGCAGCATTGTTGACCGGTTGATGACGCCCACCCTGTCGTTTCTCGCCCGCAGCCGCAGTGCTGCTAGTGTCCTCAATAACGGAAAAGATGGACGTAAGTTTTGGTTTCATTGGATCGTACAGATGCGTGAAGGTGGACTAGCTTTAATCCCTTAAATCTTTAATTTATCCACAGACTCTCCTCTGTGTCCTCGTTCAGCCTCTGCCAGTCCCCTTACCCTGTGTGCCCACCAGCCCCACCACCGCTGCTCTGACCACTGGAGGGTGACGTCTAGCACGCCGGACATCACTCAGCGGCATCAAAGACGAAGCTCCACCCCCGTATGTTTAAAACAACCAACTTGTTTTACTGGATCAGATGCATACAGCAGTTTTAAGGGGTCATCCAAAAAGTTATCATTTTGTCAGAGTTGGGGATTCAGCGCTTTAGAATGGTATAGTTATATGAACGGTTCCAGACAACGCTGAATACAGCTGTTTGGTTTCCATGTTAAAAAGCTTTAAATAGGAATAAATGAAATTCTGATTGAAATGTTTATTTCAGATGGATAAGAACAAGAAAGAGAAGCGAGACAAAGAGCGAGAGAATGAGAAGGAAAAAAAGGCCATCACAAAAGAGAAGGTTCTACAGAAGAGGCAGTCTCTGCCCAGTATGAGGCACAGACCCGACCCAAGGTGGGATTATTCATTTCTGTATTCATTTCTACTGCTACATCTAAAATTTGGTGACACAGTTCAAAGTGTTTAATGTCACCTGTATTGTTGGTTCTGGAGTCTATCTTTTTTCCTCTTTACATTTACCATCATGGTCATTTGTCTTTGGGAAAACCGTTCAATTTCCATCATGTGTCTTAATTTTTCTTTTTTTTTTCTCCATCTCTTCCAGTCCAAGTCCTTTATCAAGACGGCCGGCCTCCCCGGCCACTCCCAAAGGCAGAACTGCTTCTCCTAGCCCTGCTGACTCCCCAAAGCCCCCATCCTCACGTGGGAGCCCAGCTACTCCTAAGGCCCGACCAAAAAGAGCCAGCACCCCAGCCAGGATAGACCGAACATCTTCCCCCGCTCCATTAGAGAGGGTGAAGGAACCTCGCAGGCCCAGCACTCCAGAGAAACAAGAAAGAAAGAGTGAGTTACTAAAGGATTGCAAACATTACATAAGTAACATTTTAGAAAACATTTCTTCTCTAAAAAGCAAAAGGTAGTCTTGCAGGAAGCATCTGCTCCTGGGATGAATACGGTGCCTATGTTTATATTTCTGTACAAAGTTTAATGCTTTTTGACAGGCCCCCCTCTGTAAATAATGTCCCTTTATGTTGATGTCTTTGAAAGAGTTCCAAAGACAAAGCGGCTGATGGCTTTTCCTTTTTAACAAAGATGGCTTCCTTCACCCCTCTTTCAAACCATATGTCCTCTCTGTCTAAATTCAGAACATTTTGGTCATACCTGTGTTCTTTGATGTACAAGTGTACAGCTGATTCCTGCCAAGAGCTGCTGATGAGCTGCCTTTGGGTAGCTGATGTTTGGTTTCTCCCATATAGAAGTCTGTACAGTCCTCACTGCCCTGGACCGCTTAAACAATGCCACTCAGCTTGAATGTTTGGGATGAGGCAGCTTTTTTGGACAATAACATTCTGCTCATGACATCATGCTAGAAGTGATTTCCTGACATGTTTGTCATCCTTTTCTTTCTCTGTAAATGAGAGAACATTATCAGCACAGAGTGGATGATAGGAATCAAAATGCAGATCCTTGTCTGTATGTGTAGGTTTCTGGTAAACCTCAGTTTTTATAGGGATCAATGTGCCCAGCAGTCCTTAAAGGTTTACATATTACTCTTAGTGAAACTCTTGTGATATCTGCTCACAGAGTTGATGTGGTTGGTCAATGCCTTAACTTCTGGGTTTGGATTTTGACCCAAGTGTCATACCCATATCTGAACTAATGAGTTGGTTAGGTTCCCTTGTATGTGCTGAATGCTCTGCTGTCCTCCATGTAGATTTAAGCCCGTTTCTGTGGTTGCTGAGACCCCCAACGAACAAGAACCTACACAGCAAGCACCAATAAAATGTTTTAGTCATCTTTTACATATTTATGCAATTTGATGGCATCCTGTTCATCGTCTGTATGGTCCAATATTTTAATGGCTTCTTTAACTATTCTATAAATATTTGCCTTTATGTTTTAATGTTAGCAGATTTGATTAATACTTGGACATGAAAATGCAGTACAGTGCATTTAATAAATGTATTTAATAAATGGAGTTTATTAAATACCCTTATAGGGAAGAGTAGCCAGAAATGTTACTATTTATTGCTCAAATAAATGTGACTAGTTACTCCTACCCACCTCGGGTACAGTGAAACAATGAGTTTCACATTTAAAAGTCTAATTACTGAAAATAAATGAGATTTTAATGTCTGTAGAGAAGGAAATGTAATGTTAAAGAACAATAATATCGACCGTTGAAGTCAGCATTTAACCCTGGGAAGATATGTTCCCACTAAGCACTCTGGTTTTAAAGAATTTACTTACTTCATTTATCCACTAAAGCCACTTTTCTGCCAATATTTTCTTCTGCCACCTTTATTTTTATTATTGCCTTACTCTGCCAAACCCCTTTTCTGTGGCTCTACCCCTGCTTCTATCAGAACAGAATAAAAAATTAAATATAAAACAAAGAGTAACTAAAAAAAAATGTAGCACTAAGTACTAATGATTTTATAATTTTATAATTTCTGAGTCATTAGGTTGTTTAGTGTTTTTTTTCTTTTTGCTCTCAATAAATTCTTTGAAGAAAAAAAAATCTTAAAAAACAAAGTACGGTTTTATTAAAAACCAAAGTTACATGTATAATTCCTGTTTCCTGTCTTAAATGTATGTTTTCCTGTTTTAGGTTCCCCTGTGACTCCTGCCATCACAGTTTCTTCTGCTGCTTCCACGCCTCAAAAGCCCAGTGTGCCATTCGCCGCCGGCGCCATGCCTGCTCCTTCCCAACCGGAGCCGACCCTGCCTTCAGCTCCGCCGGTCCGCGCGGTGTCACCTTTACCCTCTCCATCAACCAAGCCTATGGCAGGCACCAACGACCCAGAGGAGGCTGCTCGCATCCTGGCAGAGAAACGTCGACAGGCCCGAGAGCAGAGAGAGAGGGAGGAGCAAGAGCGCCGCGAAAAGGAGGAGAAGGAGAGGTCAGTCGGTTTGTGGATGGTAGAACTGAGAGTGGACTTCTTTTGTGGGGTTATTTGATCTGTAAAATAGTAATTCCAATACTTATAAATGTTTAGAGGTTTCTTGTACTTGTCAGAGGGTTAAGTAATAATTTAGAGGTATATTAGCAAAAAAAAAAAAAAGAATATTGGAATATATTATTCTGCATCTAAAGTCTCTGATAAAGTGAGCTGTTGGAAAGACCCTGCTTCTTCTTAGAGTTTATTTAGCTCATTGGTTAACATTAAATGGACCCTCCAAAATTAATACTGATGTTTTCGAGACATTTGAGAGAATGTGCACTGATTCGGGCTGAACAATTTGATCAAAAATCAAAATTGCCAGTATTTTCGATCAATATTGCAATTGTAACAAGCATGTTAATGTTTTGTTTCAGGGTTTCAGTTTTTCAAGCTTGCTTCTCTAGTGTCCATTGTTGAATGACTTTCCTGTAACCTTTTGTGAAAAAGTGTTAGCTTCTATTTGCTTAATCGGATTTGCATGATAGCTTCAACACTCTTTTCCCCACCGTAAGGTCACAAACCCACTTTAATCATATGAACACCACCTAAAGGGCTGGAGGGAAAAATGGAATGTTTTTTGTTAATTGTAATGCGACCAAAACGGAATCCCTCTGTGATCTAAAAAAAAATAATAAAAATAAAAAATATGCACATTGATAAATTGTGATTATATTGCAAATGTAATTAATTGCCCAGCCCTAGCACTGATCCTATAAAACTAAACTTTTTGGTCTTCGTCTAAGACTCGATGTGATATTGAAAACTAACACTGGAAATCACTCTAAAATCACCAACCCCACAGCAACTTAGTAGGATTTGTGGATTTTTTAAATTATGTTCTGTTTGAGCAAGAAAAAGAAAGCTGGACAGAGTTAATAGAGTTAATAAAGAGATGGATGGAGCTAAATTCAGGCCGGATTGGGATAAAACCTGTTGAAGATGGTTTAAACCACTAATGATCTGTGTTCCAATGGCTTAGTCAAAGTCCATACCTGTGATAGTTGTGCTAAATTAGACAAAATTTATTTCTAAGAAACAGATGTGAAATTTCAATATGAATCAATCAAGGATGTAATCAAATACATCAAAGTAATAAAGAGGAATAGCCTGGTAATTATAAACTCCCTCTTGTGTAGGATCTTAAAGGAGGAGCGAATAGCCAGAGAGGCAGAGGAGAGACTCCGCCGGGAAGAGGAGGCCCGGGCCATGGCTGAGGAGCAGCGGAGGAGGGACGAAGAAAAGCAGCTTCAAGATGAGAAGGAGGCCCAGGAGAGAGCCAGAGCTGAGCAGGAGGAGAACCTACGCTTACAGAAACAGGTTGGTGTAACAGCAAACGCTGAGAGCAGCACTGCTGGCATTTGTACAGACAGATAAAGCTGCAAAAGATGAATTAAGTTCAAGAAGAAAAGCAATGAAAATGGAGAAGAAATGTGGTTCAGAATGAAATCTCTCTTGTAGACTCGCATTAAAGCAGGGATTCTGCATGGCCAGGGGAGCGTGAGCTGCCACTAGGGGGTGTGTGAGATGGAAAATGTAATGGGTTCTAATAATTATGCTGTTGCATCGATTTCCTTACACAATAACGAAGTGTAAATAAACATTTTCTTTGGAGAAGAAAAAAAATAATAATTCTCTATCTTGATCTGTGTTAAAGGTGCATATTTCCCAATATTTCCAAAAATGTAAAACAGAGAGAAACTTGGGTGCTCAAAAAGTGCTGACTTATTTATTTTTTTCTTTCCTCTCAGTTAATTTTGACTTATGTTTTTTATAACTAGGAGTGGCACCGAAGCAGGAGTTGTTTTTATTATGTGACTGGGAATATTTTTACCAGAAGTGGGATGAGACAGGATTTTTTTTTCTGGCCCAGGATTTAGACAGACAAGATCTATTTTTTTTCTATGGGAACATGATGGGAAAGGAGTGAAAAATCCACTCCTGTGTCATCTTCTAATACACATGACTCAGCTGTGGTCCATTATTTACCTTAGTGCTTTACTGTCCCCTTGTGGTCATCCACAGAATAGTTTTATTGTGGTGAAACACTGAGTCTATTGTTTTAATGAATCCTTTTTTTTTTTCTTTCAATTGGATTTTCCTCATGAGGATGTGAAAGGTCCAACAAAAAAAAACATTTTTTTTTTGTTTGGTGCAGGAAAATATCCCATCTGTGGTTGTAAACAGTAACAGCAGGGAGAAAACCACACCCGTGTTACGTTTAAAAGAAAAAAAAAAGCCAGCTTTTTTGGCTGCAGTTTTTTTCCCCTTCATCTGCCTGCACTCAAGTTGTGGTTGGATTCTTATGTGTTTGTGTTTCAGAAAGAAGAGGCTGAGGCTAGAGCCCGGGAGGAGGCGGAGAAACAGAGACTGGAGAGAGAGAAACACTTCCAGAAGGAGGAGCAGGAGAGACTGGAGAGAAAAAAGGTAGGGCTGAACCACTGTTCCCCCAACACTTTTCCTCTAACTGGACTGAAACTCATGCTTGAACAAAAAGGGCACCATTAGGGTTATAAAGGAAAGGTGGAATTTTCATCAACTGACTTTTCCTTGTCATGCACCGTAATCCATCTTTATTTAAACAAAAAATGTGCTTTTAATCACATGAAATTGGTAGATAACGAAAATAAAATTTCTCAGTTCACTCCTCCATGAGCGATTCAGTTATATTCTGAGCTGCATTTACTCTCTCTGCCCTCTGACCCAACAGAAATCAGGCTTGAAAGCCGAGTCCCTGTAACCAATACGAATGATGTTTTTGGCTTATCCTGGAAGGGCTGTCTGCATGCCAGGATTTAATAGGCCTTAGAGTGCCTGTGCATTTTAGTGCGTCAGTGTGAGTGTCTAAATACAAGTTCTAATATTGGCAAACTAGCTTACCAGTCTTATCTGACTGGATTTGTAAATATCTTTGCACATGTCTAACGATACTTGCATGGCCTCATGCTAAAGGTTAGATCGGCCATATAAAGATGGAGGTGAATGCTAACTAAAATTAAGCACTTTACAAATGCATGCTAAACATTCAGCTTTTGTTGCATAATTGATGTGAAAGAAAATGAATCATGGTGTTCAAGCCGTTTAACAAATAAAAACAAAAAAGTATGATTGTATTCGACACCATTTTCTAATTAAATTAAATGATCTTTTTTGTTCGATGTTAGAACTTCATATACCACAATTATTTCAAAAGAGCTTTGCATGTCAGCAGTTTCTTCCTCTTGTCATGTGTGAAAGGCTGTGATGTAGTTTAGCCAGGCCGAGCTAAACCAGAACGGACACAAGAATGAGCCCACAGGAACATCCTGTCTTCTACCACAAAGGCTTGGTTCCAAGTCTTTCTTTTTTGGACCAACTTCTTAAGGAACACAGGTGGTTTGAAGTATCCCGAGGCCAACACAACAGTCTCAGCGGGTTATTGGGCAAAAAAACCCAAAATGACAGCACTTTTTTTGGGGGGGGGGGCTAAACTAGATACCAAAGCTATGAGTGTAAAATATGTGTGTGAAATAATCAGAGATCTTTAAAATGCCTCTCTTTTATGAGTGGCAGCTGCAGTTCTGCTCTGACTGTCAGATGAAGGTTGGATCTTGTATCTAACCTTGGTGCATAGAAATGAGGCAGGCAGAGGGGTTTAATTTTTATTGAAGCTGAGCAGCGCTATCATCTTACCATTCTGCTTTGCACCATGCAGCCATTACAAGTTTGCTTTTTTTATTTTAAATATTGGCAGTTTTCTTAAAGTGTGACTAGTTTATCCATCAACAACATAATAATTATGGGCTATAAATGATAAAACCTTACTTCCACATGAACCAGTCTGAGGTTCTGAGTACAGAGGATCAGCTAACTACTCTTCAGTTTTGAGCCATGTGCAAGAAAATTAAAGTAATTACTCAGAATATCATTCTCACAGCATTCCTTTGAAAAAAGATGTCCTGTATTTGCACAAAAAATAAATCACCCTGATGTCTAGAGGATGGCCCAGGAGTGGCAGTAACGACTCTGTCTCTCTGCTGGCCCTGGATCTCCTTAGCTTCCCCCTAAAGGTGCTGGAGGCAGCATCGGGGCAGAGGAAAGCCGGCGAGTCTCTGCTCAGATTGTTGCCTCTAAGGACTATGAGAACTCGAATATGATTTAAAACGGAAGCAACAATTATTCCCTTTGTTTCTGCTAAAGTTTTATATAAATATCAATTGAAAATCTGTTACCTTGGTACAAATCTGAAACACCAGCTATAGATTTAGTAGCTCCCAAGTAATAGATGTCCTAGTTTTTTTTAATTCTTTCTCTTTTATAGAGAGTAGCAGCGGATACTGTAGTAGTTTTTGATGGTTTCATTCTCTGTTATAACTTAACAGCTTATCAATAATGTAATACGTTTTTTGATGTAATTATGTAATCCATCAATCATTCTGCATTTAGTACAAAAATCTACAACAATGTAATAGTTTTAGTTGCTTCAAAGGGAAGGTTGCTAATAAAAGGTAAAAGGAATTAGATACTTTTCACATTCATCCTTGAATGATTTATCATATAAATCTTGATTTTGTAATAATTTTCTTATTAATGGGTGATGTATGTTTCATGCATGGATAAATCTTTTCAGTGAAGTTCAGTGGATAGTCCAACCATTACCCAAATATTTACTAGTTCTAAATTATTACTATATTGACATTTATTGTAATTTTTAGTCGTACCACATTTGAGATGGCCAAAAATATTATTGGCAGATTCTAAATTGTTGAATGCTACAGAGATACATGAGAATTATAAGCTAATATTAGCTGGTTTAATAGTCAGTCTATCTGCTCTGGTAAATATTCTGCTGTCAACCCCTAACCAGACATGCAGCTTGTATTTTAGTCCTCGACTAAAGCAGAGGAAGCATAGGGTGGCCATTTTTTATTTTCCTATGTGATTGTTTAGTTTTCTAACTAAGATAAACTACTGCGCAACAATTTGTTTATAAGTCAAAAGAGATTTTAACCAGCTTACTGCTGGGAGAATTAAACTGTTTATGGTGTACAGAGCCAGAGAAAACTGCAATCACTAAGCAATCTTAATAATAGCACTTTAAACAACTAAACTTTTTTTTTTTTCAAATCTTTGTAAATCTGATTGCATAAATCAGACTATTGATAGAACTGACCTTTGATCTCCACATATTTCTAAGTGTTGATGCACTGCTGCTAAAAGCTGCATGGAAAATTCAGCAAAATTTGGTTAAAGTGATGTTAATCTCTGATTTTTTATTTTTTCCCCTTGTCAGCGTCTGGAGGAGATCATGAAGAGGACACGCAAGACTGATGGGGGTGAAAAGGTATATGTGAACATCAGTTTTTACTAAAACATGAATCCAAAATGTTGCTGTCCAATAAGTGAGCGAAAGAATTTCTAACTTTTACAGAAAGAGACTAAATCCACCTCAGTCACTTTTGCCAATGGGAGTCAGGCGGAGAGCAGCAAAGGTAAGCAGAACACCAGACTGGATTTGATGGTTTGGATTTAAATACGGTCATTAAGGAAGACATTGTAGATAACCAGCGTTTCATCTGCAGATATCATTAAACATGATCCTAATTAATGTAACATCAGGTCAAGGCAGGGTTTAAATCAAAAGAGAAGGTTTCATCACAAGGAAAAGATGTTTAGTGAGCCGGTCAATAAACGTAAACATCGTAAATGTGGAATTTCTCTGAATGATGAGGTTGGATCTGACCTGACTCTTTAAATGAAGTGGATTTCAAATGCTCCCCGAGGACAAAGTTCCTGTCCTCCATGTGTGGGACTAAACAAAAGCACAGCTATCTGCTTCATCTTCAGTTTTGGTGGGATTCTCAGTTAAACTCACCATGAATCTTGTTTTATTAAAGGGTTTTTAGATGATATCTCCACCTCATATCCTGGGCAGCTGCAGCTAGATTTGTTCTACTCTGCACAATAGGACCCATGTGTGCTCACTGCTAGTTGAATCCTCCAGCCTGAGGCATAGGAGAGGAAGAACGGCCTGGTGTCATTAACTGGCTGCAGGTTCACACAGATGTTCGTTTTTATCGAATAAATGAGCTGCTAAACTTTTGATATAAGAAAATAATATACTCCGTATAAATATCATTTTCAAAGTAAAACCATAAAATGAATGAGATCGCTAATCTGTTCAATAAAAGGATCAAAAGATGCCTAAGAAACTGGAACGAGTGAAAATGAGCAACACTGAGCTGCAAAACATTAGAGTGAAGAGAAACAATTAGCAAGTTCAAATGGTGGATAGCGGTTCAATATTTAGAAAACTCAGAAAAAGATGAAAGCTATAAAATAATTTTTAGTCAATGTGTGATTTTGTGAGAAACAACTTAGAGCTATAGACCATTTAAAGACAAAAAAGAATTAGAAATAGTTCAGCAGAGAATTGATCTTGAATGAGAAAAGGGAGGCATAAAGAGAAAAGATAAAAAGTAAAAGCAACTTAGTCATAGTTTTAAATAAGTAGAAAAGCATCAGAAATAAAAATAAAATAACATGTAAATCAAAGTAGAATAAAGATTTACATAAAGATTTCAATGTAGGAACTTTTAAACAATCGTGTATTTAAAACAATAAGTGGCCTAGGGCTACATATTGTGTCCTTAGATGCAAAAGAAACAAATGAAAGTTAAAACTCAACAAATGCGTCAAGTTTCACAATGCACTTAGCTAAATGGCAACGATGGTAATAATAATTTCATTCAGTGACTGTTTTTCAGCTTTATTGATTGAATACAGACTTAAATATTATGTGTATTTGAATTGTAAGATGATAACCTAACATGGCCTGCTGTTTAGAATGTTGGCCAGAAAAGTCCTGAAACGACAGTTTTAAATGTCTGTCCATCTTGTAATCTGGTATTTGTTCATTTAGGCAAATGTTAGCAGTTTGTTTTTCGTGGTAGTTTAAATAAAGCTAATGCAAATTTCTTAAGATGGAAATCTTTCATTGCATCTTGTCGTTTGAGGAATTTGAGGAATTGACATGTGCAGCGAGGGGGAGGTCTAAACATGAATATTATGTATAGCTGATCAGTTCTACCAGAGCATTGAGAGCGAAGAAAATGCTAATTAGAGAATAGCTTCACTGACAGACAGGCTCCAGTTTCTTTGAGCTAGGCAATGGTCTAAGAGGATTTGACAGAAAGCCATTGGTTTTAGAGAAAAGACGGGTGCAGTAGGTGGAAGTTGAATTGAATACCTACATTTTGATCTATAGATCATTAAAGTACTCTGAAAGGTATGATGGCAATAGAACATGTTTCTTTTTGAAGACTTCAGCCGGTTGAGAACTGTCTGTGCTGGTAAAAGAATTGTTTTGAAGAGTTCAAATTAAAATATTTCTCAAGGTCTGGCTGGAACTGTTCCTAGAATTCTGTGATTCCCACGTTATTTTCAGCTGCCTTTTCTTAGTCCAGACAAAATAACTACAATTGATGTAGAATTTATCTAAACTGAGTGAGTGTTGAGCGAGTAAGAAGAATATTTTTCAACGGCTGGAAAAGTTCAGTTCAACGTTCACTTTGACAATCAGAGAATCAGTAATTGGATTACATTTCCACAAGACAGCAGGTCCATGAGGGAGGTTAGCAGTGGGCTAGCTCAAGTGGTAAGTTACCTGACTTCCACACCTGGGTTCGAATCCCTGCTGGGGGGAATTAGCTGCCAGTGTGGGGGTCTTAAGCTAATATCCATCCCGCTAATGCCTACTTTGTAAGTCACTTTGGATAAAATGCATAAACATAAACATGCATTGAAAAATTCAAAGCCTACACAAATTTGCATAAAAGTTAAATTGCAATTGTAGAATAACTGTAAAACTTATCAAAAATTAACTTAAAGCAGTTGTTGAGGATTTTGGCATTTTTTTAAAGACCCA